CTTTGCTCTTTCTCTGCTCTCAACAATTGTTTGTCATGCAGCACTGTGTCCTTTGCACACTTTCAAACCTTAAGATCCTCCCCGTTCACTGACTCAAAACCAATAAACACAGTTGTACAAATATCTCATGGTAGGATATACAGTCCTTTGACTATTTTGACCAAGAATAATATATCTAGATCACAGGAAGATACAGTTTTAATTTTTTTGAAAAGCCTCCACATTGATTTTCATAGTGACTATGCTAGTTTAGATTTATCAACAATGAATAAAGATTTCTTTCCCTATATCTACACCAGAACTTGTTGCTTTTGGTTTCCTAATGGCAGCCATTCTACCTAGAATGAGATAGAATCTCACAGTAGTTTTAATTGCATTTTTAATTTGCATTCCAGTGATGCCTAAGAATATGGAAAAATATCAAAAAATGTGTGAATAGCCATTCATATTTTTGCTTTTAAAAATCTGTCAGTTAAGTTCGCTAGCCCATTTTATGAACTAAAAGTTTTAGGTTTGATGCCAAAACTCCAGTAACATTCTTCACAGACTAACAACAACAAAAACCCAAAACATCCTAAAATTTGTATGAGAACATGACAACGAAAGCCTGAGGACAAAAGAACATGGCCAGAGATAATAACACGATACCTGACCTCAAACTACAAACATAGCCATAGTGACAGTCAGCATGGTATTGGTATAAAAAGAAATAGACCAATGGGCTACAATGGAAGACACTGAAATAAAGCCACACAGCGTACACACCAAATTTGTGACAAATGTTTCCAAAACTCTGGAGTAAGAGACAGTGTTATTAAGTCTTATTAAGATGGTGTCAGCAAAACTAGGATGCCCACTATAGAAGAACAAAATCAAATCCATGTCTCTGTACACAATGGTTAGTGGATGGAGGACCTTAGTTTAAAACCTGAAGTACTGAAAGTGTTAGGGGAAAACACCTAAGCAAACACTTCAGGATAAACACACAAGCAAAACCTTTCTGAATAGAACCACAATACCACAACAGGAAGTCCCAAAATTTGACAAATAGGATTATGTGAAATTAGAAAGCTTCCAAAAAGTGTAAGAAACTATAGGTAAAATCAACAGACAGCCTACAAGATGGGAGAAAATCTTCCCCAGCTATATTTCAGACATGGGGTTAATATATAGAATATATAAAGAACAGCAAAAATTAAACACCCTGAAAACAAGGTGTTCTTTGAACAAATGAGTTTGTCATAAATTACTATCATTGCTATATGTAATGTCATTGATGTTCATAAACTGCCATGTGCTGTTGGAACTCACTGAGAAGCTGACTGCGGAACTGGAGCTTTGCTCTCCCTTTCCATTTCAAACCCAAGTATCCTCCAAGGTGCCTTGTCTGAGGAAGGGCTGTCCCCCAACCCTGTGCATGACAGTAGGGCCATCTTACTCCATGATGCCAACCAGGAGACAGAGAAGGGGTGTCAGTGCTCAGCTGCCTTTCCTGTTTTTATTCAGCCCAGGACTCCAGACACTGCAATGTGCTGCTCACATTTAGGATTTGTACTGCATACTTCTTAATCCAACCAAGCTGGCGATTGAGATTAACCAGATAGGAAGCTAGGGAATTGTCACAGAGGAGACAACATTTGAGTATGGTTATGAATCTGTAGATTGTGAGTCAGTCAAAAAGAACAACATCAGAGTTGGATTAGCAAGCTTTCTCCTTATGATCCAGAGAATAACCTATGAAGTCATATCTTCAGTTTTGAATTAGTGAGCTTATAGTGAGAATATAGCAAGCCAACGTATAAGAATAAATAGCTAATCATATCTAGATAGCAAAACACACCAAATCAGGCACTCATGACCTCCAGCAGAAATTGACTGTGGGAGCCCCTTAAAGGCAGTCATCTAAAGTTCCCAACAGAGATGGTCCTGGTCAGAGCAAGTGTCACTTTCCAGTCACCTGGCCAGAGCATATGTAAGGCTTCCAAGTAAGACAACAAATAACAACAGAAACATCAGATTGGGAGCTCATAACCTCTAGCAGAGATCAGAAGAAGGCAAAACAGCCCAAGAGTGAAACACTGTGTCCTTGAAAACAGCTGAAGGGTAATCCTTTACAACAGAGGTTATTACTGTTCATCCTGTAATTTAAAAGTTCCTACAGTGGGAAAGAGAAACTGAAGATCCGCCATGAGATGCTTAGTTAGGAATTTCAACTGCCTTAACTTTCCCAGTTTCTGCTAGAGGTAATGAGCGCCTGATCAGATGTGTTTTGATATTTATATACTATTAGCAGTTTATTCTTTTACTTTGCCTTGCTATATACTTAATGAGCTCCCTCATTCAAAACTGAAGATATGACTATCATAGGTCATTCTCTAGATCATAAGGAAAAAGCAAACTATTCCAACTCTGACGTCTTCCTTGATTGATGTAAAACCTCCTGATTCATGACCAGGCTCAAATGTTTCCCTAGCTTCCAGTGGTGGTTAATCTCAACTGCCAGTTTGACATTGTAGTGCAAATCCTAAATGTGAGTGGCACATCCCAGTGTCTGGAGTCCCGGGCTTTAAAAGGGGGAAAGCCAGCTGGGCACTGACACTCCCTTCTCAGCCTCCTGGTTGACAGCATCGAGTAAGACAGCCCCGCTGTCTTGCCTTCCAACCATGGCAGCTTACATTTCTCTGAACTGTGAATCAAAATAAGCCTTAAGTTATTATTGCTCACAGCAAATAAAATAAAGTGCTTCCCAAACAGAAATACCTTCAACTTGTTTTGCCCTAGGACCCCTTGGTAAAACATGCTTATGACATGGGTCACCATATGCCAAGTTACTATTGAAATAAATGTGCCTGTGATTTATAGAATTTTAAGTTTCCTGGTAGCCTCATTTAAAAAGTAAAAAGAATATGATAAATCTTAATAATATATTTCATTTAGCCAGGTAATTCAAGTCACTTAAGCCCATAATGCAAAAAGGATATAATATTTTCACATTAATTCATAAAACTCCCATGTATTTTACATGCACAGCATATTTTAAATTAAGACACTATGCTGTCATTGAAAATAATTACTAGTACATACATGTAGCTATGTAACCACTACTCCAACATTTCAATTTACAAAATGTACATTTGAAAAAGTAGAGTCACATTCCAAAGTTCTAAATCTACTTGAAAGCTTTCTGATAACTGAGTTAAGTATGTTCTTCATTTTATATTGAACTATAAATCAAATAACAAAACTCAGTTCCTTGGTCAGAGCGGCTGCATCTCAAGTTCTCCACACACTAGGATGAAGTTAGTGGCTGTTATGCTGGGCGCTGCAGCTCTGCCATAACTGTTAGTGCATTTACTTCTCTTCCTCACAAAAAGACCCTGTCTACAGTCTTTAGATTCCCTATTGCCTATTGTAAATAGAGCTTTAGTCATAAATGATGAAAGTTGAATCTATAAAAATAAATATGCAAATTGTCTGAGTCTCCTTTGTCTCAATATGAAATTGAGAGAATTCTTTTGTACAAACTGTAAGCAGCATTTTTATGACTATGAACACATGCAACTCCTCATACATACACAAGCACAAACTGCAGCGTGACTCACAAGAACCAGGATACAGAAACAGTTTAAATGTTCAGACTGACGAATAAAGAGAGGTGTACATGCATGATGTGATACTTACTATTCAGCCTTCAGAAGGAACAAAGCCTGCCACATGTGACCATGTGAAGGAACCCAGAGAATACTGTAGTAAGTGAAATAAGCGAGTCATTAAAGGAAAGACAATGCATGTCCATTTCCATGGGGTGTCTCTAGCAGTCAAACTCAGAAACAGAAGACATAAAGAACTGAGTGTGGTTTCAGTAGCAAGTGGGTAAATCCTAGAGATCTGCCACAATATTGTATACATGGTTTGTAATATTGAACTGTATGCCCAAGCATTGAAGCATGGTGGCTCTCAAGTCAAGTGTTCTTACCACAAGAAACGAAAAGGAACTTCAATAGAACAGAATCAAACCCAAGCAGCAATGAGCATACTCTGTGGTGTGTGGTGTTAACCATAGGGGATCAGAGAGAGGGAATGTATGGAAACTACGCTTCCTACGTTTATGCTAAAATGTAAAGTCTACTTAAAAGAGGAAAGAATACCAAGCACACTTGTTACTGACTTCTTCAATAATAAACACAATTTCATACAGATTACCCACCTCATCCTTCCTTCTTCAGTGCCTTCATCCCGCTCTACTCATTCCCTCAGTGAACTTATGAGTCATCGGCATAGTTGCCACTCCATGGTACATTTTCATTTTTTTTTTCATTTATTATTAGTAGAAGAAGGGTGAGTGTGCATGGGTTCGCTTGCCCTTGCACCTGTGGAGGTCAGAGGACAGCTTTACATGGTTCAAGGAACTAAACTAAGGTCATGAGTCTTGCCAAGCAAGCACCTCTATGGAGCCCTCTCACCAGCCCCCATAATATCATTTTACATTCTCTAGCTGTTCTTAAACTTCTGGAGACAGAGACTACTCGCTATACTTTGTAACTATCAGACATGACTTAATGGGAAGATTTTTAATCCAGAATTCCATGTGTGATGTCAAAATCAGCTCTGCAGTGCCTTCCTTTTCCGTGAAGCTCAGTCCCCTCACAAGCACACTAAATGCACCATCTCTGGACACACAGAATCAAAGGCCTACATACATATGTGATTCTATTAGTCCTAGTAATGTTTGGAGCCTGTGGTCGTCCTTCACCTCTAACAAGATGCACTCACACTCCCAGTTTTCAGTGCAGCACACACATGTCCTTGTATGGCGCCCTCATCACATGCAGATTCAGCACTCCTTATTTCCTGCCTCATTTCCCTCTTCCATCTTCCCAATCAGTAGGAGACATGGTCATGGGACAGAAGAGAATTCAGAAACAGAAGTGATCTCATCAGTCTTGGTTAATCTGTGTCCTGGTGATAAACAACAGTGACAATGAATGTAGCCAGGTACATTTCCACAGAGGGAATCAGTTGGCATATGCTTTATTCTAAAGTTGCTTCAGTATGAACAAAATAAAACTAAACACAGAGACATCTGATGACTCAGTAACGAAGTTCACACACATCTGTACTGGAATCCATTCTCTTTTGCTTGGACAGCTCTTGGATGGTTGCTATCTCTCTAGCAGTAAACTTGGGAGTGAGAGTCACATTGTCATAATCAAATTCTTCATCGAGAAAGAAGGGCTGAACTTCATCTCCAAGTATCTACAAAAGGTACCAAAGGCAGAGAGAAACATGGTCACTGAACTGAAGATGAAGCTGAAAACACAAACAGCCTATTAATAGTTAATGAAGCTTTTTTTAGACTTTCAGCACTCTCAGCTGATTAAGCTGTTTTTAAGTAAAGAAATAAATTCAATTATTCAATTTGACCTAATTTAAGCCTCTTAATATGCCCCATTTGTATCATGCTGTATCTGAATGAGTATCATTAACTAATTCTGCCCCCAAGGCAAGAAGCAGGTCTGCTTTGCATACATTCATTTCATTCTTTGCCACACTGTTGTGCCAAAACAGAGGCATATTGAAAAGCTAGACACGCCATTAAACTATAAAAAATATACCTTAAGGTCTTGACCAACCTTTTCATCATTAGCTAAAAAATACCTATTAGGAAGTAATCTTTAAAAATTAAATTTAAAACACATATTAATTTAAAACATTTACTATACTTGAGGTAATACCCATAACCCCTGTCCAATAACAGGAGGAATTAAAACATGTATGATCAAATTTAAAGATCCAACATTCTTCTTTTTCTCCCTTTTTATATATTACAGTTTACCTGTAAGTCAGAATAGCTACAAAGAAAGGAGAGAATTTTGTATGTGTTTACACATATTTATGAGTTTTAAAGACCTTCTAAAGGATGAGCCATTCAAAGCCCATTTTGCAGGGCTGGGGGTATAGCTCAGTTGACAGAATACGTGCCTGGTACATGAAAGATCCTATGTTTGGTCCCCAGTATGGGGGGAAAGTTTGGTTTTTTGGTTTATGTTTGTTTGTTTCAAAAGAGTATATGTTCCAGCAAACAGAAAAGAATGCCTTAAATCTCATTAATTCACCCCCTGAAAAATACCACCCAAAGCCAATTGTATGTGAAACAGTGAAAACACACACCATTGCCATCTGCACCTGGTGCACACATAATTGAAAGCTATGGCTTATACAATAATGAAAAATGCACAGAAGCTTTAGCTAGTGTCAGCTTTAAACATTCTTGCATGGAAGATGATCTCCTGAGGAGCTTTTCTGCACCATGTGTGAAAATGGCACACGCTGCTACTACAGTGAAAAGGAATTCAGAAAAGCAGAGCTGTTCAGAAAGCCCTATTAAGGAGTAAGGTATGACATGCCAATAGCAGACTGCCAGCCCCTCATTGCCCTGTGGCCTTAAAATCAGCTGCTGTAATCCATCCAATAAGTTCCAGAGGCCTGGTCCTTTCCTCTGTGTTCCTGGTGAGGAAAAGTAAGAGCTGCCATTGAATGATTTCCTGTCTTGGGCCTGCCCCAGCATCAGGATTCACATGTGTATCAACAGTAACCTTCTATCAGCTCTGCCAGTACCTACTATGGCCTCCCAGTCACGAAGCTTTGAAAGACTTCAGAACATGAAGAATAGCCATATTTGAACACAGGGCAATCTGTTTCAAGTAAAGTCACATTTGTTCAAAAAACACAAGCAAAATCAACCAATCCTTAGTTCTTTGGGAGAACTGACCTTTTCTGAATAAGCTGGACAGTTTTCACAGTCACCACTGAAAATGTACTCAGGGCCATGTACAAGGTCAAGACTGTATTCAGAAGAGCAGCTGCATGCAGGAAGCTAATTAGCCTGCACAAGAAAGCGACTGATGTGCCATGATCACTTTCTGTAATTAAGTTTATCTTCACTACACAGTAACAGAACACTGTTGATAAGACTGGCTCCAATGAAGAGACATGCACACTTGGTGACACTTGATGTTCATATCCAAAAAGCATGTGTCCATGCCATCTCCAACTCTGTGAAGAATTTCTGAGGTCTACAGAGCAGGTTATAGTCTACCCTAACTAACGATGTAGGCACCTTATTCTCACCGATCCTGGCCAACATGCCGAGGAAACTCCACCTCTATGAATGCATTCTGTCTTGGGATTTTTGAAGCTCTTTATGTCCTCATCTGAAAACAGTGACTACATACCTACTGAGCTGTAGGCATCTCACATGTGTCCTACACGAGGATTCAGAATCCCACCCTGAGCCTCTGAACTCATCCACTTTCATCACATGTGGACATTTAGCCTTCATCTACCTCCCAGGGAAGCTGGCCTATTACTTCAAGTTAAACAAGTCCCTTGGCTATGAAAATCCCTTCAATACCATATCATGCTCTTCCTACTTTCTACGTAAACATTTCCATTCCCTCTCCCCTTTACTTGTTCACTCAATAAACACTTAGGAATTAAGTACTGGGTATCACAAGAAGGAACTCACCCCTGACATTGCCTGGGGTACCAGGACCCGGAGACTAGATACTAGATAGCCCAGAGTAGGACAAAACCAAATACAACTGACAAAAGAGAAGGAGGACGAGGAGGGGGAGGAGAAGGAGGAGGAGGAGGAAGAGGAGGAGGAGGAAGAGGAAGAGGAGGAGGAGGAGGAGGAGGAAGAGGAGGAGGAGGAGACACTCTGTTACACTCATAGACTGGTGCCTAGCCCAACTGACATGAGAGAAGCTTCGCCCTGGCACCTAATGAAAATAGATGCAGATGCTCATAGCCAAATATTAGGCAGAGCTTGGAGAATCATGTGCAAGATGAGGAGAAAGGACTGGAGGCACCAGAAGGTCAAAGGATATCATAAGAAAACCTATAGGGGCTCACAGGGACTAAACTGACAATCAGGTAGCCTGCACAGGACTGACCTAGGCACTCTACACATATGTGACAGTTGTGTAGCTTGATTTTCTTATGGAACTCCTAACAGTGGGAACAGGGGCTGTCTCTGACCCTGTTATTTGCTTGTGGGACCCTTTTCCTTGTTCTGAGTTGCCTCATCTATCCTTAATATGAGGGGAGGTGCCTAGTGTTATTCCAACTTGATATGCTATGTTTGGTTGATATCCAAGGGAGGTCTGCCTTTTCTGAAGCAAAACAGAGGAAGAGTGGATACTGGTAGCAGAAGAGAGTTGGGAGAGAGGGACTTGGAGGAGAGGAGGGGAAGGAGACTGCAGGTGGGATGTAAATAATAATAATCTTTTGTTTTGTTACTTGAATATTTTTCATTTACTTAAAAACAAATTAAGCCCAATTAGTTAAAGGTTTTGGGTAGGCTACAGAGGTCAGAACTCAAAAGCCAGTATTTTCTAAAGTATTTGCTGAAGCAAAAGTGATGAAGAAACAGTGTGAGTATATAGTGGCAGATGGTAGAAAGAAATGAGGATGAGCTAGGGATGTGGAGATGATTTTAGTTTACTAATTTCAGGTTATAGTCCATTGTATAATCCATTGTCAAGGCAGAAACTTGAATCATCTTGGCCACATTATATCCAAAGTCAAGAGTAGAGAGAAATGAATAAATGCATACATGTCTATTTGTTTGCTTGCTTATCTGTGATCAACACGATTTCTCCACTCAAAGGAGGCTCTACCTAGGGAATGGTGCTACCCACAGTAAGCTGGGTTTCACACATCAGTTAATTTCATTAACACAGTCTATACGGACTAAAGTTAATCTATAAGCCCTACTTGCCCAAGGACAGATTACTTCCTAGAATGCTGAGAACCACTGTTTATTTAAATTAATAAGTCACATGTTTTCTCTTCAGAAAGTAAGATTGGTTTCCCCAAATGTACAAGATGTGCTTGATCACAAACAGGTATGAGGTACATAGGTAGTAATTATTTCAGGATATATGCGGATGAAAGTGGGAAGTACCAAAACCTATATTTTGGCCTTTGTAGATACATGACTGACCTAATTTAGCACCATTCTCTGGGAATTCTAGGTTAAGTACCTGACCAGTCCATCTTTCTGTCCAGTATTAAATAAAGCTTGCTTCAACTGAAAACAAAAAAACAATTAGGTACTGGGAACACAACATGAGTGCAGCAAAACCTGTGTCTATAGGGTTTCATGACCAAGGAAAAGACAAAATAAACAAATGATCTCCCTAACCTGTGGCAAGCCCTTTACTAGGATAACTCCAAAAAGCAGAGCATGAACCTCAGAAGGTTCATTTTCCCCCAAACAGGAATTATTCCTCTAAAGAACATACATCAGCCCCATGTCACCTCACGTCACTCTCTGCCACCTTGTCAGGTGGTCTGAGTGAAGTAGGCTCATGGTTTAGCCTTCTCGGAGCTTCTGATCAGGCCTATAACCAGGTTAGTTCTTCATAGATGCCCCCCTCCAGTGCCACTTTATACCATTTCCCTGAGATCCAACCCATATTGTGGCTGGAATATTATTCCAGTCTACACTGGACTGAATATGATCCAATCCACATTGTTGAGGAAAGTACCAACATTATGGTACTACAGGTAAACAATTCTCTCTTAACTGGGAAAAAAAAAGTGTTTTTCCATATAGTTGACCTCTCATTGTACTGAAAATTTTTTACAGACATTTTGAATTAAAATCAATAGCAAAGAATAGATTTCTGAAGGCTAACAAACTTGCCAATACAAGCATTATTTATAATAAACTTTTAAAAATAAAAATATACTTTGATATCTGTCACTTAGAAACAGTTATTAACAGTAGCTATTGCTAGATCCTTTTCTTGGAAAATGATTTAAATGCTGGAACAGAAAAATAGAAGAAACTAAAAATAGTCATAATTTCATATTTATAATGCCAAAATATACTCCTCAGAATATTTTAAGCCACTTGGGGGATGTGCTTCAGTGTGGCTCAGCACCCAAGGTATGAGAAGAGCTCCTTGCAGTCATTTGGGCATTTTTCATTCTTCCCAAAATGTGCATGTTCCTACATATCTTAGCCATTGTATGAGGTCCTAGGACACAAAGAAACACCTGCATTAATGACACATTAGATCAGTACAAACCTATCATGACAGTAAACTGTGAAATGGTAGAGTTTGGGGATTACAGGAACATCTGGAGTGGGTTAGGAAGGAATTAGAGATGGTTAGATACCTAAGTGAAATCCTAAAAGGTTTATTGGTTAACAGGCTAAGAGAACAGCTTTGCAGACAGGA